TTGGGGTACTGGACACCCTATATGAAGCTATCAACGGGAATATGTTTTAACAGGATGGTGCCCCACAGTTATAAGTTGGTTTATAAACCCGATTAACTAGTTCGTTATATCTTCCATAAAGACCTATAAACTATATTTGACCTAGTTATAAACCATATAAATATGTTACTTATATTATATTCGTTATATCTACCATACACCAAAGAATTCAGCCACAGCCATATCTCAACTGAACGCTATCTGAAGGGGGCCCCATCCTGAATGGCTCGCATTCATATTGATCAAAATGAAAGACTCATGTGCTTCAAAATGGATGGAGGACATACTGTGGATGGAAGAAATCCTGCACCAGTTGGGAACTATTAGGTACTTATGAAACACTGTAAATAATGGGATTATAATGGGAAAACCCATTTACCAACTGGTGCAGGATTTCTTCCATCCACAGTAGCACAAACATCTTATACCCTACTCATCACTACAAAGTCATCCAAGAAGATGTTCCAAAGCTATTGAACCATCCATGATTGTTGGGAATCTGGGGTTGTCGCAAAAATCGCAGCATCATCGCAGCATCATTCCATCCTGGTTTGAAATTATATGTTTCCTAGCTTTCCCAATAGATACTGCCCAAAATTGGGGTATACAACATGTCTTTTCCACATCAAACCTCCGTATGCCGTATGCCATATAATCACGATAATATCCTCATTGTTGATGGTTCAATCCTCGTTTTTAATGCTAAATCAAGTATATTTCTTTGCTAGCCGGGAAGGTGGCAATGGAAATAAACAACTTGAGAACATGGCCGCCCTTTTGAGTGGTTCCATCTTCATTTTCAGTGGTTAACTCCATCTCTGGCGACGTTAACATGTGGTGGCTAAATCCCAATATTTGTGTGAGAACATGCACAAATGAATTGAGCGTTCCAATCATTCAATTTCATGTTTGTCTGTGGTTAAATGATGCCAGTAAATGAATATCTGGTTGGTGGTATACCTACCCCTCTGAAAAATATGAGTTCGTCAGTTGGGACTATGAAATTCCCAATATATAGAAAGTCGAAAAATCATGTTCCAAACCACTACCAGATATAAGAATACCCTCAAGATCAAACAACCCTCCTTGTCCGACAAATTAAAACCCTAAATCTGGGTTCTAGAATGGTGTTCCTTTAAAAAACCCAAGGTTTTCAAACCCCTCAGCGGAGAGCAAATTAGAACCCTAAAGTCTATGGATGGTAGGGTTCTAAAATCATGTTCCTGCAACCATAAAATCATGGAAAATTGACGCGTTTCTCCTTGTTATTATCTGAAGCAATTGTTGCATTTCATTTGCGCACAGTTTTTGTCCTCCCGAATGCATTGAGCGGTTCAGGTCATCATAATGTTTTGGATTATTCTGTTCTTGAAGGATTTTTTCAAAGCTGCGTCAGGCGCACCTTCTCTGGAAAATATACGCAGCACCTTTTTTAAAGCAACCTCGGAATGGATGCAAAAATCGATTGCAACCTTTTGACCCTCTTTCCCCCCACAAAGAATGCGTCGTCCAGTCATCTTTTGAAATCGTCTTCCTTTTAAAACATTTCTTACCGCAGTACAGTCTGGCATCTGGCAAGACTATCGCAATGAGGGAAAGATTGCCTTGCGAATGACCAGTCTCAAGACTTCCTGGGCCATCAGTCTCTCCCCCTTCTTTGTTCTCCGAAAGTTCTCTATCAAATGTGTTGCAGACGGATGTGGAATGCAGAAGCGATGTGACAAAATGGCTGAGTTTGGGTTTCAGCTCGCCATCAGTCAGCACCTGTGGGTCTAGAATGGTTGCCTTTTCTGCTCCAAAAACATTTGACACGCACTGACCTGGGGAAGATGATTATAGACCCGCGTCCTTCTTTCCAAAGGGTTTGGTTGAACCAACGTGCTGGTACCTAAAGATTGTGCAGAAAGATGTAGACTGTAGAAGGGATGTCAAAGGATGGCTAAGCGGCTAAGTTGGCTTGTAGCTGGCCATCAGTCAGCACCTGGGCTTCTAGAATGGTTGCCTTCAAGCTCCAAAAGCATTTTGACACACATTGACCTGGGAAGATGATTATAGACCCGCGTCCTTCTTTAAACGGTTTGGTTGAACCAAAAGTGTTGGTATCTAAAGAATGCGCAGAAGGGTGCAGAATGTAGAAGAGATGTCAAAGGATGGCTAAGCGGCTAAGTTCGCTTATGCTGGCCATCAGTCAGTACATGGGGTTCTAGAATGGTTGCCTTCAAGCTCCAAATGCATTTTGACACACATTGACCTGGGGAAGATGATTCTAGACCCGCGTCCTTCTTTAAACGGTTTGGTTAAACCAAAAGTGTTGGTACCTAAAGAATGCGCAGAAGCGTGTAGAATGTAGAAGGGATGTCAAAGGATGGCTAAGCGGCTAAGTTGGCTTATAGCTGGCCATCAGTCAGCACCTGGGGTTCTAGAATGGTTGCCTTCGAGCTCCAAAAGCTTTTGACACACATTGACCTGGGGAAGATGATTATAGACCCGCGTCCTTCTTTAAACGGTTTGGTTGAACCAAAAGTGTTGGTATCTAAAGAATGCGCAGAAGGGTGCAGAATGTAGAAGAGATGTCAAAGGATGGCTAAGCGGCTAAGTTCGCTTATAGCTGGCCATCAGTCAGTACATGGGGTTCTAGAATGGTTGCCTTTGGGCTTAAAACGCACTTGACACGCACTGACCTGGGGAAGATGATCTAAAGGATGGAGGTGTTGGGTGGAAACAAGGATGCGCATCACTGCAGGTTGCTCATCACAACTTGACATGGCATTTGTACTTTCCAAACAAACTTGGCATTGTGTGGGAAGTTGGAGGTAATGGTGAGGCTCGTGTTTTTTCAATTGCGGACGTTGCCGGATATAGTTCAATATTTTGTTTATCATTGCACATTGCTGCAACTGCTCAGCACCAAACGACATTGAAACCACCTGGTATTGAAAATGGAAATCTTGATCGACCAAAACCAGGGATGCTAATTCCAAACATGTTTTGCAGACTTGGTTCCTTTTTCTGCACTCCAAAACAATGACCTTTTCTTGTGGTCTGTTGGAATCAATTCATACCACAACAAGGCTCATATATCCAAACTTTCAGGGTTCTAATTTGATAGCCTTTCAGGGTTCTAAAATCATAGTGGTGATGATTTTAGAACCTTCAACGGGAACCCCAGGGGGGGATCCTAGACACCTCTATCTTGAGGGTATATATAAAATGGGTTTTGCCATCACCATCCATGATGACTATGGAAACCCCCATGAAACCAATGGTTTCCCAAGGCAAATCCAAGGCAAATCATCCAGAAATTGTGGGCCTTCTCCAGTCGTCAACCGTGGCTGGGAAATCACCAAACCAAATGGGATTTCTGGGTGGGATTTCTAAATGGTGGATTTTCCAGCAAACCGATGGAGCTGATTACCTGAGTGTAATATCCTATTAGTATCCACATCATCTATCTTATCTTCCCATTTGCATTCCCTTTATGTTCTCTTTACAGTATATTCAGTTTTTTTCCCTTCACAGTATATTCCCTTTATAGTCCCTTTGAAATCCTTCTTAATTTCATATTCATATATGCACATATTATATTCCCCTTGATATTCTCCACCATATCCCCATTTTATAAAACCATTTTCGATCTGCGGTCCTTCTGGAAACTCTGGGCGTCCCAGTTGTTGCTCTTGGCATCGTTGGTCCCAAACAAAGTCACGATGAAATGTGGGCGCCACCTCGAGCGTCCACGTTGTCCGAGTGAGTTGGGATGAGTTTGGGGTACAGGATGGTGCCCCAGTGATGTGAATGTTGGTTGATAAACTCCATTAACTAGCTCATTTTATCTACCATCCATCATAGAATTCAGCCACTGCCATATCTGAACTCAGTAGATTAGTTCACCCCAGTTATATATATATATGGTTGTTGATCAAAATTCCTTTATCCCGGAACGGCCATTCTTCGCGAATAAAAAAATACTTTCGCGAAACTTTTATCTTTCGCGCGGCCCATGTTGGCCAACAACACCTCTTATGAAGATTCGTTCACCACGTGCCAAATTACGCCAGAGAATCACGGATCACTTCTTGGTAGCCTTTTAAACATGCAGCTAGCATCACGGAATCCCTTCTCAGGACAGTTTTTTTTGCAAAGTTTACTGGCCCACCCCCTTCAACATGCACTTTGACTTCCGCCCGCTCTTTCGCATAACTTTCGCGGAACTTTCGCGAAAATATCCCTATTCACAGACCCCGGCCATCAGCAGGGGGTGTACTGAAGGAAAAGCGAAGACCAGGGGCCTTGGTGTTTGGCTCTCTCAAAGCCTCACTTTTGGAAACTTGGCTACTGCTACTCGCATTCTCTGGTGCCCTTCTCCTGCCGGACCCTGGGCGGCAGTGGGTGGCAGCCCTTTACATAATGATTGGAATATCCAACTTTCGCGAAACTTTCGCGAAATAACATTTTACTTTCGCGAACTCGAAAAGTAGGGGCAATGTCCACTGAACGAACTAGGGTGAACTTACGATTCGTGGGATGGGCCTCAAAGTAATCAACGGCCATTTCATCATTTCATTTACGCCGATTGGAGGTACCTACCATATATAAGGCCTAAGGGCTACAGGATGGGGCCCCCAAGATTGCGTTCAGTCCAGATATACGTGGCTGAAATCTATGATTTATGGTAGATATACCTATAGTTAATGGGGTTTATAAAC